CGCACGGTTAATTTTATCCAGACAAATTGCCGTATTTCAGCTAAAACATTTTCACCCCCTCCATAGGCACAAATATGAATTTACGCCTATAATACATATAACAAATTTCAGCAAAGAATTTGCAGGGATTCGAACCCAGGTTTTATAGATGACAGTCTGGCGATCTAGTTACACACACGTTCCCGTAGAACCCCGTCGTTTTACATTGATAGGCCCTACATACATGGCAATTTACGGAGGCGACAATTCCTCTCCTTATCTTTTTTCTCTCTCTCTCTCTCTCTCGCCTTTATTCTTATTCCTGACTTTCTTTATCTATCAAAAAAGCGCAAAACGTTTTACTCGACCCGATACAAACGCGCTGTCTTCATTAATAACTGTAATAATACCAATGAACCATGAGCTTTATTTTACCACCGACTCATTTTTGCCTTTTTTGGCAAGTGTATACGTACAAGCATTCGGTTACAGAATTGTATACAGCGACGAGAAGAGAGATGCAGATTGTAAAATGTAACAAAAATGAAGAGCTACCTTCTATCCACCGACTTTCGACTACACATACAAACACGCACATGCCTAAGGAAAGCTTGCCTAATCAGCATACTCTTACAGAGTATGTACAACATTGAATAGCTATATGGTGCCAAGCGATTTCTACATATAATTCTTGGCTTCATGAATGTGAGTACATGTGTGGGTTTATGAATTTCGTACACATTTTCCTTAATGTTGATAAAATAATAGAACTGTCGTGGGCATAACAAATGACAAGGCAAATCCTTGAACAACAGCTGACAGGAAACAGGACTCTATCTACACCAAGGCGCAACTAAAATGAAAACTTATCATGACGTCTTATTAATGCCGCCACAACAACCTGTCCTTCCAATATTTATAACAATACACGAGCACACTAAAAATGCACGTTATACTGCAGCTGTTAAAGACAAAAGAATAAGTAATTCAGTTATAAATACCACGACTACCATAATACTACCATTATACTACGATAAATACCAGTTATAAATACCACGACCAATAAATACACAAAACCTGGAAAAGTGATAATTGTCAACTGTCCCCAGTTGCAAAGCTGCACTGATCGCATTTCAAGAAATAAGCAAATACACCGCGAACATGTACTAAATTCTATTGCTACAACAAGCAAACAACAGAATGATGCTTTGCAGAAGTTACAGCAAAAAAGCGGAGAGCACCGGAGATACACGCGGGAGTGATTGATAACGTTAGGTTAGACAAAGATAGATAGATAGATACATAGATAGATAGTTAGATAGATATATACAGATAGATAGATAGATAGATACAGATAGATACAGATAGATAGATAATAAGATAGAGATAGAATAGATAGATAAGATAGATAGATAGATAAGCATAGATCAGATAGATAGATAGATAGATATGATAGATAGATAGATAGAGTAGATAGATATAGTAATAGATAGATACAGGATAGATGATAGGATAGATAGATAGATAGTAATAGATGATGAGATAGATAGATAGATAGATAATACTNCCGGTGGACCGCCATCACACAAAGCCCCTTGGCTTAACTAGAATGAGCTTATTGGAGTCTGCGATCAAACGTACAATGGGTGCTTTTGTTATAAATGATGTAGGATTTTACAGTTTATTGAGAAATAGATAAGGACATGATTTTATAAATTTGTGATAATTTTGTAATTTAATATTTTTTATACGGCGGTTGATTTAGAATCGTATGCGAACAACATATAGTTACACGTGTGTGCGTATGAATATTAGACTATGAATTAATTGACTACACGAGCTTAGAGCCAGACTACTTCTTCGGGTCCATATAACCATAGATATATACAACACATGTGTTGTATGTAGTAGACTATGATATAACGAAGGTAATCGTTATTAGTTGAATTTGAAATGTGTTATTCCAAAAAGAAACACGGCACACGGATTACATCAGAAACAGTTATTGTTGTTATTGTTGTTGTTGGTTGTTATTCATTAATCCTCCCTGCTAAGCAGTTAGTGGTCAGCACATGTTATACACGCTTTGTTCGTTAGCGGTACGCATGTTTTCCGAGCTCATGGTTTTTTAGCTCACCGGGTCGAGGAGTCGGGCTGCGAGAGGGGCGTGAGCTAGTTGCGCATGGTTCGTCGTGCCGTGCGTAGTGTCCGTGGTGGGGGCGGCGGCCGGGGCCGTGGGCCGGGGCGAGGAGCGAAGTGGGCTGAGCGTGCGAACGAGAAGCGTCGGCGAGAACCCGAGCGCGCGAGTGTTTGTAATTGGGTGATAAGTTGTTACTGGCTGGATGTTCCCAAACGTCCTCATTTGGAGCAACGCCCGTCGACATACTTTCGAAGCCAACGGCAATTTTGCACGGCAATAAGAATGGGAATTGCCATTAGTCAGTTCAGATTCCAAATCAGTAATTGCTGCATTTTGAATGGAATAAATAAGGCTAGGGGATTTTGATATTTAAAAATTAATGCAAATTAGGTAGGTTGGCAATATATAGCAATTATATAGACACGCAGATAACAAACAGTCTGTGGTGTCACACTTGTCTGGTTTGTTTTACAAGATTTCATTGACAATATCTTTAATGCCAAATTTCTACTATGAACATATTATGATTTATACTATTATTATTATGATATCATGATTTATGCTAAGAAACATCAAAACGGGTATAGCGCCATCTACCGTCACAAATTGTGATTTATTTTGGTTTATATATTATTTATAATTTATATATATTATTTATTATTATGATATAATGATTTATGCTAAGAAACATCAAAGCGGGTATAGCGCCATCTACCGTCACAAATTGTGATTCATTTTGGTTTATATATTATTTATAATTTATATATAATATTATTTATTATTTTCACATAAAAAATTAAACATATAATTATCAAAAGTATATAATGGGAGTTCTCCCATATATACTCTTCGTTTCTATAATGTACGTTGATGGTTGCTCAATTAAAACCAAAGATCGTATAGTGCCAAAGGCCTTTGGCCTTTGGCACTATACGATCTTTGATTAAAACTGACTTCTTCTCACTCACTCATTTGTGTCCTTTTTTTGGTGAGCTACAGTGTCATTGACACTTTCATTTGGTTAACAACGGAGTGTCTGTGGCTAGATTACTGGGAGGGACCATGCAGGGGCGGATTCAGACCGTATTTGCCGTATTGAGAAATACGGTCTAGGTTTCAAAGTGCCCTTCGAAATTTTGCGCTAAAAAATACAGAAAACAATTTTATGGAATTTGGCTATATTCTTTATTTGTTTTCTTTTTCTTCTGATTCAGTGACAGGACTTGAATGAAATCAAAATTTTACATGGTACCCTAGCTTTGATATATCTGAAAAAGAAGGGAAGTGCTTGAATCGATCATTCTGCATCAATTGCTGGTATGCAAAGCGCAGGCAAAAAGAAGCATAAATAAAATTCCATATGGTTTTTAGCTATTGCTGCTTGACTAAATGTGTGCTCAAATGGTGCTCATTTTTGTGCCCATGCAGGGACCCTTGAAATTTTGAATTTCCGGGAGAAGGCCCGGCCCCCAGACCCCCCGCCATGTGCTTCCGCGCCTGACGGCGCCCACTGTGGGGTGGTGTGCCCTTTTTGGGGGATGTGCACTTAAAATCTGGAAAAATACTGTCTAGCTTCAGCCTTGGATCCGCCCCTGGGGACTCGGACAGGAATCTGGAGAGGGCCCGTTTGATGGTGGCATCCATCTCTGGTGTTAGATTCTTGTTTTCCCCAGTAAGGGTGGCAATGTCAATTGTCCGATGGCTTGGGTTGGTGTTGGTCTTCACATACCCCAGATCGATCGTGTCGGTCATCTTCTCCCTGCTTAGGGGCCCGTTATTATTTATTCAGGACGTACATTATCTACGTGTCTGATGTCGACGCACGACACGTGTAGCAACGACTGACAATATGTAGGCGCGAGCATTATATAAAGAGGGGTGTGGGATTTTGGTTTGATAAATCCGCCCTGTTTTCTACGGCTAAATTGCCGGCGATACATAGGAAGGACAGAAGCAGTAAAGTCTGACGTGACAGTGAACTTAACATAACAACGATGCGTTAAATAAATGTGCATAATTCGTCTTAGTGTGTGTGTAAAGAACCTATCCCACCTTATTTTCATTAGATCCTATGAACCGGAAGTGACGCAGGAGCCAATCAGCTGTCGACACATTCGCCGGTAGGGGAAATATTGTACATCGAAGAAGTTGAACACATGTTGCTATCTTGGTTTTGACAACAAGAACAGTATGTGCAAGTTGGAGAATAATCGTATTTAGTAAAGCAAGATCTATTACATTTTATACCAGCTAGACAAGGCACGACTGATCACGTCCGTTGGTGAGTTATAACGAAATTCCAAACGAATTTTTACGTCATGTTTTGTACGGCGTACGTGGCACTGGCAAGCCGCATTGGCAGCGATTCATTCATGATTAGACAGATTTGCTAAGTGATGACTATTCTGTATTCACTTTCAGTCAAAGTATGGGTATGACTACGACTACGAGTACGAGATCATGGTCACCCATAGCCGCATATTATTTAGTATAAAGAACTAGCAAACCTAAGGTTTTATTTCTATTTGTGTGGTTTTCAGGTACTGGGCGCATAGAATAGCTAGATTTCGCGAGAAGAAACAATCATGAAGACGACAACCAATTTGATAGCCCTCATTGCTTTATTCACGATATTTATTCACCAATCAGGTATGCCTACAGTTTATACAATACATACCAGTTTCAGGATTTTTTTCAATCTATTTAAAATACATAAGTTTGAGGACCTAGCTTACCAACTCCTGTAATTGTATATAAGAAAATCCCATTTCTATGTAAAATGTAAACCAACCAGGCTCTCCGACTGTTACAAGGGCGGAGGAACACACGTCTCGCCAACGTAGTGTTAAGCGAGAAGGGAACTTGTGTCTATGTAAAATGTAGTGATCAAAGCATGTGAATGGTTCCCTGTTTCGATATGCAAACTGTCATTTTTTATTTCAATTTTTTTCAGAATGTTTGCATGCCGTCATGTCGTTAGATCTAGGTTTGGAATGGATGAAAATTGCCATTGTCAAGGTAATACATTTATTGGTTTATGTAGTTGAAAGATATATAGATATAAAAATGAGACCTTCAGTAGTAATTAATATTGATATGCCATGATATTATGTTTTAACATCTTAATTGTTTTCCAGCCTGGTGTTCCCATGGAAATAGTGCTCAACAAGTAAGTTTTATTTACCCTTCATTAATTGAACTTTGTTTTTAATAGAGTATTAAAATACTGTATTAAAAGAGTATTAAAAGATTGTAAAATACAGGACACCTGTCCCTTCTAAAAATTTTACCATCACCTGAAATCTTCTCTCACCTTTCACATCATTCTTTATTAGTTGTTTACACCCTATAATAATATTAATATATATTGGTTACAGTTTGTGTGTGTTCAAGTAGTTGGTTGTTGGTCTTAATTCCACTTAATTGTGGTATTACAGACAAGATGCTTATAATCTATGCTAATTCATTTTTATCAGCTTTAGCAACTGCTACATGTAGTATCTGTAGATACATTGGAACATATCAGTTCTTGACATTTATTTTGACTGTGTTAGGGAATCGCGGAGGAAAACTCCGGCAATAGTCGCATTAAAGGATGGAGAGAGACTGTTTGGTGATCCTGCAGCTGTCATGGTATGATATGTCACATAACCACAGACCATACATTAAGACAAACATCAAAAATGTTCTTTCTAGATGGGATTTCCACTCTATAAAGAGAACATAATAAGATAAGTGGTTTAAGTTTCTATACCTGCCATTCAAGGAAATGGCAATAGTGTTTTTTTATAGACAGCTATCCATTTCACAGAAATGTAAGCTAACATGCGTTTAATTCTATGTATGTCATATTTAGAAAGATGGAAAGCTTGTGATGCTGTTACATGTCACACACGTGTTGGCTGGCATCAAACCAAAAAAAACACGGTCACAGCATAGATGACTGTATGGTCAAATCAGTATAAGAACTGCTAAGATCTGCTGTAAGAAGTGCATGAAGGGTTCATCTGAAAGTGTGCATAAATCGATTGCTCACGCTCTCCTGCAGGCTGTTCGACATCCGAAGTTTGCTTACGGATACGCACTGGACCTTCTTGGTAAGACCATGGATAATCCAGCAGTTGTGCTGTTCAAGAACAGGTTCCCCCAGTACACCGTCGTGGCGGACGATCGAAGGAACACCGCTGTGTTCGAACATCCAAGGTAGGGTTCATTTCGGTCGCGCGCAATCAAGTGTTCGGTGTTCGTATGCTACCTGAAACAGGCATTGGATTTTATAACAGAGATCTTTCAGGTCTGAAAACAGTTCTTGAAAACTGTCCATTATCCTGGATAAGTTTGGAAAATGCATGGTCTATGTCCTAGGAAAATCATGGAAAGTTGGCCATGGTCCTGGATACTCCTTAAAGTTATTGCGCAATCTGAAAAACTGGAAAATATTTTGCCTGTGAAAACCCTCCCGCAGTTAGTTGTCATGCTTCTCACGGGGATCAGACAAACAATGACGAATCGTCATATTATCTCAATGAAATAAGTGCATTCTGTCAGAGAGTGGGCTTCGCACATAGTCATGTTCTCTTAGTGCTAACAGTTGTAAACGATCAACATAACTCGCACCGTGTGTATTCAACAATAACGTAAATGTACTAAAGTAGCATACACGTAGTTATCGAATGTGCTATACATATACACTTCGGTGCTACATACTACGGTGTATACTTCGGGTTTGTACTACATAAGTGACACGTTTGAATTCTTTATCTCTAGTGGTGAGAAGTATAGCGTAGAGGAAATCATCGGCATGTCTATAGCAAAGGCACGAGAATACGCCGAGGATTTTGCAGGTAAAGGTAGTAATGGTAATGGTAAACGAGTAATGGTAAATGATGTTCAGCAAACATATGTCAATGTCGCATGTTCTCTCGTGCTACGTTATCGTTGTTTCTATGTATCACATATTTTATTCATACATATGCGAAGGTTGACAGATTCGCGTATCTACATCATATATATTATAATAAAATATATATATAGATATAGGTAAAGGCACGTAGGTGCCTTTACAATTACAGTGATATGCGGTATTCAGGATGTAGATCTTCATTTATGTTCTATTTGTTCTATAGAACAGAAGATCAAAGAGGCTGTGATAACGGTGCCAGCGTATTTCAATCAGGCAGAGAGAAGGTCGTTGCTACATGCTGCTGAGATTGCTGGTGTGAAAGTTCTGCAACTGATCAATGATAATACTGCAGGTAAGCTCACTACAGATAACACCGCAGCTGATTAAAATTAAAATAATAGTAATCAGGAAAATAATAATAATTTTGATTTGAAATTAACTTTGCATTTGACACGCTGTGAATAGTAAAGAATATTTGAAGCGTTTTAATGTTCATATTCTAAATATGACTGAGACTGTAGAGGGAATTATTTTTGCAAAAGCTAACATTGTCTTCATTCAATTTACCAAGTATTGTGTCAAAATTTCTTTCATTGCGAGCAAAACTTTGTGGTAGCCTATAAAGGTACTGGTATTTTAATGCCATCAATATTGGTATAATAGCTTGTTCGGAAACACGCTTCTGTTGCGTCAACCTTGCTTTCCATTTGCAGTTGCGTTACATTATGGAGTCTTCCGAAGGAAGGATTTCAACTCTTCAGTGCAAAACATCATGTTTTATGATATGGGAGCAGGGAGTGCAGTAGCAACAATAGCATGTAAGATCAAGTAATACGTGATGATGTACCCAACTTCGTAAATACTTTTAATTTGGTATGTTATACAGTAAGTGTCAAGAGCTGAAACAAGTTATCGCTGGATCATTGTTCGCGACAGCACCAATGACAAGTGCATGGTGCATGCATGTTGCCTACGCTGCTGTGTTGGCCATTGAAATTGACTAATTTATTTAGCAGGTTTTCATATGTGTCTTCTATACTAAAACATTTTAGTGTAACATTTTATTCATTTTTTACAGCATATCAGCTAGTGAAGACGAAAGAAGCCGGTTATACTGAGACCATTCCACAGTTGTCCATAAAAGGTGTTGGGTAAGAATATACACTTGTAACTAGGGGTGTATCAGATCCAACTTTTTTCTAAGTTCCGGCTGGAACCGGAACCAGTCGGAACTTGAAAAAAGTTACGGCCGGAACCAGAACTTAAGCTGGGTTTTGGCCCAGTATTGCGCAAACTCACTCGGCCTGAACGAAATATTATATTATATTATTATTATTAGTTCTAATTACAGGATGGTTGTTAGGTGTATGAATCAGCTGCTTACAGCCCATAATTCTGGCAACAGAATTCGCGAGCGAATTCTGTGGCAAAGCCTGCATGTTGCAGTATATCCCTGGTTTTAGTCGATTATTTTCAACTAACAGACAGATGCCATTCCTGTGGCTCTAAGAGTATTTGTTTTTAAAAGAAAATCTCGTGAATCACCTAACATCAGTTAGGTTCATTTAGTTAGCCGATGTTCAAGTGGCAAGCGTTTTTTGGGCGGAATAGAGTGAAGTTGATAACACTATATTGTCAGCAAGTTGACTCTATTGACTCTCAACTACATTCAGTGACTAATCTTTTGATCTTGATGACGCTTGTAGCAGAAATGAAATTAGGAAAAAGTTCCGGTTCCGGCCGACTGTTTCGGAAGGGTTCCGGCCAGAACCGGAACTCTGAAAAATTGGGGATCCGGCCGGATCCAAATTCCGGTGCACCCCTACTTGTAATGCTTTGTGGAAGCATTTTAATTTCTTTTTGTTTTAATTAATTGTCACAGCTAGCTGGCCTTCCTACTATGTTATCAAGATATTAAGATATTTTACACCAGGGGCCCGTTGTCAGAAACAAAATTAGTCTTAACATTAGTCTTAACACTAACATTTTCTCGTAGACCGTCGACAGCGCTT